TTTGGGTCCGGTCGTGAGGCCTGAACTCTGGGCCTGGGCACTGTCCCTCAGCTCTTCAGCTCAAGGATAGTGCACTACCACTTGAGCCACAGTGCCTCTTCCGGCTTTTTCTCTTATGTGGTGCTAGGGAATCGAACCCAGGGACTCATGCATGCAAGGCTAGCGCTCTACCACTGAGCCACCTTCCCAGCCCCTTCCTCTCTTTTTTTATTTTGGTCAGTTGTGGGGCTTGAACTGAGGGCCTGGGTGCTGTCCCTGAGCCTCTTTGTGCTCAAAGCTAATGCTCTACCACTTGAGCCACAGTCAGTTTTTGAGTGGTTAATTAGAGATAAGAGTCTAATGGGGGCTTTCCTGCTTGGGCCGGCTTCCAACCACAACCCTCAGATCTCAACCTCCTGAGTAGCTAGGATTACAGGCGTGAGCCGCTGGTGCCTGGCTCATTGTAACTCTTGAGATGTGCTTTTTGTTGTTGTTTGCAACAGGTCTTCTCTATTGCAGTCCAGGCTGGCTTCCAACTCGTGATCTCCCTGCCTCAGCCTTCTGAGATCTGGGATTACAGTTGTAAGTGGTCGCAATGACTTTGAGATTCTTCAGGTGGTGTGATGTTGTGCATGGTGCTTATACCACGGCCATGGCAAACACTCTGCCTTGGTGCTGGGCATCCCCAGACCTGCCTTCAGACAGCACTGGTTGTTTCCCTTTAGGAGGAAGGCGATTCTGTCATTAGATTTGGAGAGGGACAGAAAGGGACACTCCCAGAAGTCAGGAGGAGTTCTGGGGACACTCAGTGATCAGCCCAGTAATGGAAGGGGCAATAGGAGAATTGATTTCAGATTCCTGAATGACAGAGATGTCACTTCGCAGGTACACCACCATGTAGCTGAGCGCTGGACCACCAGCACTGACCATGGCAAAGCCACCATGGCAAAGCCACCTTGGCTTCAATCCCAGCTAAGTCACCTTGGGCAAGTATCTGCTCCCTCCTTCCCTGTGTCTCCTTTGATTATGTGTAGAACCGGGGATGCTGTTAGCCCATCTCAAGATTCTTAGGAAAAACTGGGTGCCAGTGGCTTATGTCTGTAATCCTAGCTATTCAGGAGGCTGAAATCTGAGGGTCACAGTTTGAAGCCAGCCTGGATAGAAAAGTCCCCGGGAGACTCTTAATCGCCAATAAACTACTCAAAAAAGCTGGAAATGGTTCAAGTGGTAGAGCACTAGCCTTGAACACAAAGATACTCAGAGACGGCATCCAGGCCCTGAGTTCAAGCCCCAGTACCAGCAAAAGAAAGAGGGGGGGGAGAGAGAGAGAGAAAAGAAGAAGAAGAAGAAGGCAAGCAAGCAGGAAGGAAGGAAGGGAGAGAGAGAGAAAGAGAGAAAAGAAAAAAAGATTTTTAGGAAGGTTAAATGAGTTACATAACCAGCTTTTGGTAAGTAATGAGCATTCTGTCAGCCAGTGTAACCAGAGAGGCAATCTGACATATCTCAGGTCACACAGCAAACAAGACAGACACAGAACTGGAATCAAATCAAATCTTCTGTGGCAGGTAGGCCTGCCTGTCCGTTGGGTTTCTTTGACCCTGGCAGAGTTCCAAGGCTCCCAGGATAATGCAAGTGTCCTTGCATAGATATTTACATAGGAGGGGTGGAGGCGCCTAGTGGCCTCAGCCCTGGGAGTGCAGGCAGCTGAGGTCCTGCAGGGTGCACATCTGGGGCAGGGCACAGGGGAGCCCAGACAGGTCCACAACCCCATTACCACCCGTTGGCAGGTCTTTGAACTGGGTCAGTGCCAGACATCAAAGAGAATTGTACCTTCATATCAGTGTGAGCAGGACAGGTGCACAGGGTGACAGCTCTCCCCTCCCCACACCTGCCAGTCACTCTGTCCCTAAAGGCCAGCACCAGTGTATTTGCAATAACAGCATGGACAAAGCTCCAAACCTTCATCAGCTGACGGTAGTGAAGGTGATAGATGATCTAGAGCGGCAGAAGGAAGCCAGGTGCTGGTGGCTTAGGCCTAAAAACCATAGGCCGCTGAGATCCAAGGATTACCATTTGAAGTTAGCCTGGGCAGGAAAGTCCGTGAGACTCTGCTCTCCAATTAACCAGCAAAAAGAGCCAGAAGTAGAGGTGTAGCTCAAGTGGTAGAGTGCCAGCCTTGAGCAAAAAAGTTAGGGACTGCCCTGAGTTCAATCCCAGTAGTGGCCCAAAAGAATAAGGATGGAGGAGGAGGAGGAGGGAAGGAGATGGGTAAGTGGTAAGGTGGCAGGGCTCATAGACAGGAGGTGGCCTGTGAGCAGGCTTGCAGCGTTGCATGTTGCATGTGTCACCAACCTGCATCTTCCCCCACCCCCCACCTGGCAGTGGACTCCCCCATCTTACTGATCAGGAAGCTCAGAAACACACACATCCGCTCCAGGTCACACAGTGGAGGTAGGAGCAGAGATTTAAATGTGGTATGTCTCCCAGTCTTCAGCTAGACACCATGAAGTCTGGGTGGCAGCTAGGGGTCATAGGGTCAGGAGGACACACAGGGCAGGGAGTGAGCAGGTCTACAGTTCACTCTGGGACATGTCATTGAAGCGGCAAATTTAGCATTGAACTAGGAAAAAATGAAGGGAAGGAGAGGAAGGAAGGTAATTCTAAAGGGAGAAAGTAGCTGGGCACCAGTAGCTCACACCTATAATACTAGCTACTCAGGAGGCTGAAATCTGAGGCTCATGGTTCAAAGCTTGCCTTGAGCTGAAGAGCACAGTGACAGTGCCCAAGCCCAGAGTTCAAGCCCCATGACCAATGAAAAGAAAAGAAAAAGGAGAGAGGGTGTGGCTTGTGCAGGGCTTTGGTGGGAACCCTGTGGGCAGAGAAGGCTTTGCCTTGGAATGGACGTAAGTTCGGAGAAAATACTAACATAGAAGTTGCACACCTGGCTCTTTTCCTCCCATGCCCAGGCCCCCCGCCTTGCTCGTGCTAACCCCTGGCGGCTCACAGGTTGGTGTTGCCTGTGGGCCTTGCCTTGGGAAGCAACAAATGGAGCAAAGCCACAAAAATCAGATCCCAGGCCAGATAGTACTAACCACAGCGAACACACATTTCTTTTGTTTTTTTTTTGGGTCCGGTCGTGGGGCCTGAACTCTGGGCCTGGACACTGTCCCTCAGCTCTTCAGCTCAAGGATAGCGCTCTACCACTTGAGCCACAGCGCCTCTTCCGGCTTTTTCTCTTATGTGGTGCTAGAGAATCGAACCCAGGGCCTCATGCATGCAAGGCTAGCGCTCTAGCACTGAGCCAAGAACACACATTTCTGCCAGCTCACAGTAGAACAGATTTCCAGCATGTCCTCTCTCTTCACCCCCACCCCGCATTCCACCATCAGGTTTGCACACAGGACTCCATTGAAGCCGGAACAGACACAGCCGTCTCAGCTCATTCACTAAGCATTTATTGAGCCATTACTGGGGGAGGGGTGGCAGGCAGGGTACTGGGGTTCAGGCAGGGGACCGGGTGTCAGGCAGTGCCAAGGATCCCATTCTTAGCTTGTGTCACTGCACAGTAGTGCACATTTCACAGGGGATGATGCAAACTAACATGACGTTGAAGGACAGGGCAGAGGTGAAATGGCCTGAAGGCTGTGTGTCCCCAGAGGCTCATCCCAGAACAGCACCCTCCAGCCTTCACAGGACTGGGTGCAAGAAAGTGGGTTTCTTGGGTGGGGTGGGCCCCAGTGTAGAGACAAGGTGAGACTGGCAGAGGGCCCTGTCTCTGCTCAGAGCTGTTCCTAGCCCATCATCCACAAGGGGCGCCACAACCAGGGGCAGGAAAGGACACTGCAGAGAGGCTGGTCTTGAGAAAAAAGAGCTACTAGTTTTCAGGGGCCCCTATGAGTAGGGGGTGTCTGGGGTTTTGCTCCTGGGTGGGAAGAGTTTCAAGCCCTAAGCAGGCTGATTATTCCTACACTCCAAAAAGGGAGTTCCTGGGGATCACCGGTCAAGGATGAAGGCTGAACAAGAGCTGCCAGGTGCCCCCCTCTGGTTTCCAGAGGCCAGTAGGGTGTTTGGCCACACTGAGGACCTCCCAGGGGCTACTGCAGAAGAAAACGGGGTGGGGTGCACTCTGTAGGCCATGTGTGGACAGTGAACAAGGCCCTGGCTGTGGTGATTCATTTCTCCACTCCTGTGGAAGGCCCACTGTCTGTCCTGCCCCATTTAGGGGTTCAACTGTCATCTCAGAGACTTGCCCCGACACTGCCACTCGTGTGTGTGTGTCTGTGTGTGTCTGTGTCTAGATATACACACACTCCTGTGCCAGGGCTTGAATTCAGGGCCTTGCTCTCTTTGCCTGGCCTTTTCATTTAAGGAGAGCACTCTACCACTTGAGCCACATCTGCACTTCTGGCTTGTGCTGACTCCTTGGAGATAAGAGTCTCATGGAGTTATCTGCCCAAACTGCTTTCAAACCATGATCTTCAGACCACAGGCCATCTGCCCTGTAGTGTGGGTCTTCTAGCCCACTTCTAGCGCTTTACAGATGAGGAAGCAGCAGCTCAGAGAAGCCAATTAGCTTGTGTGAGGTCACACCACTTAGTCCAGAGCAGCGCATCGTCCGTCTGTTCTTCCACATATTCCCCTTCTTGCACATTTTAGGTGCTGTCATCATGTAAGCTTTAAAGGAGCATGGGAATCCCAGAGCTGGAGCCAGCGTTCCTGGGCTCATTTGCCTGCTCCTTCCCCATGACACTCAAGCCTTGGCATGATTTCTCTTCCCTGTGGAGGTGCCATGTTGGCCGGAGGTAAGGGTATGTGTGGCTGGAACCCAGGAGTGTGGCATGTGAGAATTGCTGAGGTGGGTAGAGTCTGGGTTGTTTTGTTTTGTTTTTCATGATCTCTGCATCTTTGCATTGCAGAGCCTCCCAGCCAGCCTAGGAAGAGAGGGAGACGAAGATGACAGCCACCTCCCAGAGCCTTGCTGGACACCAGGCTGTGGGATCGGTAGCTAAACATATAGACTCAGGAGCCGGGCAGCAGGTTTGCAAAACACATCCACCACCTTCTTCATCATGTGTGACTGTGGGCAAGTTACTCCCCTTTCTGGGGCTCTGCCTCTCTGTATAAGGGCAAGAGTTCTGGGAGGCCTCAAGGGAGCTTTTTTTTTTTTTTTGGTCCGGTCGTGGGGCCTGAACTCTGGGCCTGGGCGCTGTCCCTCAGCTCTTCAGCTCAAGGCTAGCACTCTACCACTTGAGCCACAGTGCCACTTCCGGCTTTTTTCTTATGTGGTGCTGAGGAATTGAACCCAGGGCCTCAGGCATAGCAAGGCAAGTGCTCTACCACTGAGCCATCTTCCCAGCCCTGCTCAAGAGGGCTTTTAATGGGAGAGCTGCCATCTTGGCACAGCCAGGAGCAGTGTGCTTCTCCCGAGCAGAGGTAGGTCTACCTGTCAGTAGGAGGGGTCAAGACAAAACCCAGGCTGCTCCATGCCACGACGCAACAGGGACAAGGCATGAATGTCAACTAAACAAGCCAGGTGCTGGTGGTGACTCGTGCCTGTAAACCTAGCTACTCAGGAGGTGGAGATGGGAAGATCCTGGTACAAAGCCAGCCTGCACAGACAAAGCCAAGAGAATCTTACCTCCAGTGAACAATCAAAAAGCCAGAAGTGGAGATTTAGCTCAAGTAGTAGAGGGATAGATAGCCTTGAGCAGAAAAAGCAAGTGAGAGTGAGAGGCCCTGAGTTCAGGTAACACACACACACACACACACACACACACACACACACACACAGAATTAAGCACACCCTACATGACTAGCCTGGGCAAAAGCTTCATGCTTATCAGTTAGAGCTTTCTGCCTTGCCCGAGGCTGCTGGTTGTCCTATAGGCAAGACCTTTCTCTCTCTCTTTCTCTCTCTCTCTCTCTCTCTTTCTCTCTCTTGCTCACTCTCTTTCTCCTTCTTCCCCCCCTCCAGTCCTGGGACTTGAACTCAGGGCCTGGGCACTGTTCCTGAGCTACTTTTGCTCAAGGCTACACTCTTATCACTTGAGCCACAGCACCAGTTTTGGCTTTTTCTGTTTATGTGGAACTGAGAAACCCATGGCTTCATGCATGCCAGGCAAGCACTCTACCGTAAACCACATTCCCAGTCCCTGTAGGCACAATTATTAAGATAGCCAGTCACAGAATTTCCTCCAGCCCCTTCAGCACCATTACCTAACACAGCCCAACCCTTCTACTAGGCTTCTACTAAGTCCTTCCCTACCCCCTCCTTGTAGGGAGCCCTGTTGTGCATGCTGTCCTTCGGTAAACCCAACTGCTTCACCATGGGTATATTTCTGTCCATCCTTGGCTGGAGACATTGGAAGTCCCTACTTAACTGGACCGTGGTAAGGAGCGTATTTATCCTGTCCTAGAATGATACACTCCTTGGACTCTAAATATCCAGAGAGTTCCTGACTTCCAGGGGTTCAACTTACAGTTTCTCTTCCAGGGGTGCAATAGTGATGACATTCTATCACATGCCTTCTTTTCCTAGACTAAAGGGTTGCAATCCTTTTTCTTCTCTTTTTCTTTCTTTTTTTTTGTTGGTCATGGGGCCTGAACTCTGGGCCTGGGCGCTGTCCCTCAGCTCTTCAGCTCAAGGCTAGTGCTTTACCCCTTGATCCACAGTGCCACTTCTGACTTTTTCTGCTTATGTGGTGCTGAGGAATCGAACCCAGGGCCTCATGCATGCAAGGCAAGCGCTCTACCACTGAGCCACCTTCCCAGCCCACAATCCTTGTTCTTGATGCTAGAAGTGGCCTGGGCCACAGCCACAGTCTCCAGTCAGCACCTGGAAAGACACCCATGCTACCGCACACCAGGCTGGGAGTGACACTCGCATGGCCCTGCATTGTCACTTCCAGTATTTTCAGCTTAAGATATGTTTGTCTAGACACAGACCCACCCCAAGTTGAGGAGCACCTGTTCTGGTATACTTAAATGTCACCCCTACAAGACAGGAGAAGGGCTTGGAGAAGGACCTTGGCCCAAAGTTACACAGCGACAGCTGATGTGAAATGCAGGCCACCTTCCAGACTCCTCCCCTCCCCCACCGCCTCCATGTTAAAAGGGTACAAACCAACAAGACACTGAGTCAGTCAGTGTCTGCGGAGGGGAGGGGTGTAGGGGCCTGGAGCCCAAGAAGAGCTTGTGATGGAAACTGGTAGCTGTAATCCAGCTTACTCAGGAACTCAGGAGGCTGAGATCTGAGGATCACAGTTCAAAGGCAGGCCAGGTAAGAAAGTTCCAGAGACCTTTTTTTTTTTTTGTAGGTTGTGGGGCTTAAACTCTGGGCCTGGGCATTGTTCCTGAGCTTCAGCTCAAGAGGAGCACTCTACCACTTGAGCCACAGCGCCACTTCTGGTTTTCTGGCAGTTAGTTTGAGATAAGAGTCTCAGGGACATTCCTGCCCACACTGGTTTTGAATTGCCATCATCAGATCTCAGCCTCCTGTGTAGCTAGGAGTACAGGCGTGAGCCACTGGTGCCCAGCACCAAAGTCTTTTATCTCCAATTAACCCCAGAAAACTGGAAGTGGAACTGTGGCTCAAAGTGGTAGAGCATTAGCCTTAAGGGGAAAAGCTCAGGGACAGCGCTCAGGCCCTGAGTTCAAGACTTAATACAAGTGCAAGTGCGTGTGCGTGTGTGCACGCAAGCACCAACACCCCTCCCCCCCCCACAGGCAGCACCTGGGAGGAAAGACACCTAGATGTTCATTGGACGTTCTTTGGATCTCTCTCTCTCTCTCTTTCTCCCTCCCTCCCTCCCTCGCCCTCTCCCTCTCCTCTTTTTTTTTTTTTTGTCGATCATAGGGCTTGAACTCAGAGCCTGGACACTGCCCCTGGGCTCTTTTACTCAAGGCTAGCCTCTACACTTTGAGCCACAGTACCACTTCCGGTTTCCTGGTGGTTCATTGGAGATAAGCGTCTCAAGGGCTTTCCTGCCCAGGCTGGCTTTGAATCATGATCTTCAGATCTCAGCCTTCTGAGTAGCTAGGATTATGGGTGTGAGCTTGTTCTTAGTGACCCTTGCTTCCTTCTCCTCCTTCTCTTCCTCCTCCTCCTTCTTCCTCCTCTTCCTCCTCCCATGATTTCCCTGACTGGATCTCCAGGCATTTCCTTCCCAGGCGACCCAGATGCTGAGTAAACACAGACCCAGCAAGGCCCAAGGTGGAGTCGTGGGGCAGCATCTGTGGCCTGAGTCACTTCGTGACCTTCACGGAAGAGGTAGGCAGAGTGGCCAGCTGTGTGGCAGGATGGCACCCACAAGGCAGGAAGGGCTTCTCTGCTGTCCCATGCCTTCCTGGGCTCATCTGTGCCACCCAGCGGCTTCCAGTCCCCAGGAGTGGGCCCTGAGTCTGGAACCTCAGCCCAAGCAGAAACTGGAGCCCTTCTCTTCCCACAGCGTCCCAGGGCCTGAGTGGGAGACGGCAAAGCAGGGAGGAGCGTGCCAGATGCCCAGGGCAGGCTTTACTGCAGCAGGAGACAGAGAAGTGGTTTGGCCAGGAGACGCATCCCGCTGATGTGGGTAAGGCAGACTAGCAAGGTGTCAGGCTGTTTCCTTCAAGGGGCAGACCTCTCAGCTGAGCCTGAGCAGCCTCCTAGCAAAGGGCACCCACCGGCTCTAGGACCAGGCTGTGGTAACTTCTTCATTCAGCCCTGCCCTCCAGCTGTGTGACCTAGTGCCCATGACTTAGCCTCTCTGAACCTCAGGCTCCTCATCGGTCAGGTGGGGATCATTGTTGGACTGACTCACGGGCCTCTCACCATGATTAAGTGAGTTATCCATGTAAAACACTTAGACTAATGGCCGGCACATGACGGGCCCAAGCGTTGATTAAATAGTTTTTGCATGTCTAATGGACTGGCTGTTCCTTTCATGCATTGATATTGCACAGGGTTCCAGAGATGAACTGGATTCCTCCCCTCTGTGCCTGTTGGGGGTTTCAGTGGGGTCCGTGGGCTCCCCAATCTCTGGATTACCCAATGTTTTAGGCTATGTGGAAGGGGCTGCGGACCTTCAGATTGCTGTAGGCCACTGACAAATGCCTTTCCCTATGAACACACCTTCCTTCCCTCTGACGAAGAAAACAAGCCGTCCCCCTTCCTGCCCACCAGCAATGGTTGCGACAAGCCCATTGGACATCAGAGGCACAGGTGGCCGTTTCTGCTCCTCCCCCTGGTGTCTGTGCCTTGCAAGCTGGAAATTAGAGCCAAGTATTTTGCTACCCATCTGCCATCCCGGCTCCCAAGAGGCTGAGGCAGGAGGATGAGAGTCGGAGGCCAGCCTGGGCTCCGTCATGAGGCCAGATCAGCCGAAGCTACCTAGTCTCAACAAACCAACATTTGAACCCTGGCTGACATGTGGAAGCACAACATTGAGGTTATTAATTGTTTGGACAGAAACATGACATTGCGGTTTTGTTAAATCCTTGTCTTTATGAGATTCCAAAGGATTCTGGGTGAAATGTGGTGGTTTGGTTTTTGCCTCAGAATTACAGGGGAGGAGGAGTGAAAGATTATTAGACTTGACCAGAGAACCACACAGACATCCAGGTACAGAGAACAAAGGAAGGTTTATTGCCAGGAAAGGGGCCCGCAAGACCTCGTCTCACAAGGCGGAAGGGAGAAGCAGCACCGGCTACTGTCTGACGTGACCTATGTAACTAGGAGGTTTAGGAGGGGGTGGAAGGGGCTAGGAGGCAGAGACCTTGGTGTAGACATGCGGGCCAGGGGCTTCATCATGGCCGACTAGGACTTATGGCTGCTGCCCAAATAGTAGATAAGGGTCCTGCAGCTGCCCAGACCTGAAGGTCACTCCAAGGGGCTCCTCATGCCTTATATGGTGGTAGCCGCCCCAGAGAAGTGCCATCCCAAGGTGGTGGGGGGGGGTGGAGGCTGATTATTTACTGCCTTTACCTCATGGGCCTTGGGTTGCCTGGGAAGGGAGCGTGCCAAGCTGTGGAGAGGGCAAGGCTGGACTAAGCTATGGGAAGGGACTCATTTCCATTTCGCTAACAAGGGGTATGGGTAGAATCCACTCAACCGGGAGTGGACAGAATTGCACAAGCTGAGGAACTGGAATCTTGGGAGGGGGTTCATTGGCACCCCATCAGTTGTGGATTTCTCTCCCCCCCCTCCAAACTCCTTGGGAGCTCTTCCTCAAGAGGTCCGGGCTGGGGGTCCGGGCCTCTGCTCCCCTCCTGAAGTCTTCCCAGCCCCCCCCAACACCCCGTTTCCTGCAGGTCACCCCGATGGCGCATACAGACGCACACCTGCCGCAGGTGGCGGGCG